GTCGGTTAGCTGAAAATCTTCGGCTTATCCTTTATCGCGAATTTACTAATTAATTTCGGCTTAAGCTATAATAAAATCTTGGGAAATCAAAAAACTTCGGCTTAATGCAATTTCGGCTTAGTGTGGCTTCGGCTTATCGAGTTTCACTTGTAATTATCTTGAAAAAATGTAATAACGTCAGCCAATAGAATTGGGATATGTCACGTGTCACAAAATTAAGACTATGAACGAAAAACCGTATTAGTATTCACCCAACTAATCCTAATTGTCATGAAGCATAACATTACAGCTTGTTAAAGATATTAGACTGCGGTCCAGGATATTAAATCATTCTTTTTTTTGTTGGAATCTAAAAGATTCATAGTTTATAGCATTTTAAACTTCGACCGTCTTCTATCGCCCCAATACAAAAACTAATCTAGCAAATATTACGACCCAACATTTGAGGGATGCCGTAATCTATAAAGCCAACTTCTTGAGCTTTTTATTGATAAATACATCTATCGTCACGAGATTGATTTCTCATCAATCAATGTTAATTTTTCTGCGGTAATCTCTAACCAGAACTAATAATTAGTCTCTATGAGAAACGAAGTTGTCTAGATGTCAATTCATTTTCTATTTGTCAAACAACATGAAAACCTTGGGAAATCATCTTTACTGTTCAATCAGTTAATAACAAGAGCCAACATTACATGTCTGCACCAAATAACTTTCCTTCCCTTAGATCCTCGAAGGAACGTTGATATACACCCACCCCCTTCTAAGTTCTCAAGAAGTTGTAAACAGTAGAGTGAAGAATATATGTCTCTTCTTGTTCATATCCATCCTGATGCACGTATAGTATACTATTCTCCAATGTAAGTTTTCACCGAGACTTTTTGGCGGTCTTCTAACGTCTGTTTAATGAATACGGGAGGAGAAACGGAAATTTATTTTACTGACGGAAAACAAAAAGAATTTATTGAAATAAATAAATAAACCGTGAAGAAAAACTTAATGTTAAAAGACAGACTGTAAATACCATATGTTAGTTCCGAACTTGCTTCATAATTGTTGTACCGTAATTGTCTCATAATCGTACTCGTCTTATAATTGCCTTGTAACCGCTAGTAACCACTCAGCAAGCTTTTTTTTTTTGACTTCTGCTAAACAGAGCGACTACGTTGTGCTAACTGAACACGTTTGTTGTTTGCCGAAGAGACTTAGTAATCACTGAGTCATAAAAAGCCAGTGTTTTCGCAAAAAACGTTGTGACCAAATGTTGTGTGACTGCAGAATTTTGAAAATGCGACAATATTATTGAAATAACCATGCTCTACTCAACTAAAAGTATTAAAATTATTTTAAATTATAAAAATTTACACGAGTTAAAAGTCATTACAAAGAACTTTGTGAAAAACAAAGTCATGTTGTTTTTCTACCATTTTACAGTCATGATACACGTATGACACTAAGCTGTTCAATTCTGTTCCGTTCCGTTCTGTTCCGATCGACGGCAAAATTGTATCAATCAATCAAAAATCGTGAGAGTTGAGGACAAATTTCGCGCGTTTCCCCGTTTCGTTGTTTTTCTTTTCACTCCAAGTTATTCTTTACAAAAAATATATATATTTTCTAAAAGTCATTAAAATCTTTTTGCGCAAAGTAACCTTTTATTTTTTTCGGTAACTCACACAGTGACCTCCGCAAATCTTGGAACGTGATTGGCTAACAGTTAATTTTCCATAAAAAGCAATAAAATGAAATGCAAGTTTCCTGAAATGTCAACGTAACAAATACAGAAATAACGATAACTGACGATCATCACTTTGATACTTTTCAAATACGATCACATTCAATAATAAGAGCTAAATATAGAGATTTATTGACTTTCAACTATCCATTCTTGACTACGGTATAAAACGAAAACATCTTTTATAAGGTAATTTGATCTTTCAAAAACATTGTGTGTGATGTTGAATCTTTCCATGTGCGTTCACGGACACGTTTTTTCCCCTTTGCCTTATATCTGCCATCATATTGCGGGCTTTTTTGATGCTTCCATTAAAATTTTTACATGCCGCAAGTTTCCAGCATCATATTCTTTACGCATATATGACAGTGACAGGTAGAATATGTTCGTGACTAAGACTAAACCTCCTGTCAAGTACCACCCAGATCACATCTATACCTTCAAGCAGTTTGAATTACTTAACGATTGGCTCAAAACCAACGAGTTGTTAATTGACAACACGCCAATCAACCATTTCGAACTTGACAAGAAGGGAAGGCTCATCCCTATGCTACAAACACCCATTTTCAAGGAAGCTACTGTCGGGAATATCTATGGGCAACTTGACCGGTGGAATGTCCAGACTCGGCAAAACGGTGTTCCTACTTGCTCACAGGGGGGCTTTAATCTCTCTACGACTGGAGGAAGAACAATCAGGGCCCCTGATGTTGCCTTCACCCCAAGCGAAACGTATCGTAATTTGACTCACCAACAACTCATGACCTTTCAAGGCCAACCTTTCCATCCAACCTTTGTCGTAGAGGTCGAGGATGTTTCCGCTGACTCGAAGCTTGAAGAGCTCAAGGACAAATTCAAGACCGTTTATTTTCCTGCGGGTGTCCAACTAGGTTGGTTGGTGGATCCAGTGAATAGGAATATCTACGTATTCAAGGAAGATATAAATGGAGTCGTGCGCTGCCTGAATAAGGGATGGAGGGATGTTGCCGGTGGGGATGTGTTGCCAGGTTTTGTACTTGAAGTCCGGTTAATCGATGAAGTCCTCTCGCAGGTATGTTGAGTCGCCTGTCTTGTTGCTTTTACAGTACACTCTCAAATATTTGTGTGAATCGGTCACAGGAATCTTCGGAGTCTTCTTCGGAATCGGATGGTGACCTCACATGCCCCAAATGCAATGAAATCTTCGATGACTGGCATACATTTCTAAAACACTGCGAATACGAACATGCGCGCAAGAAGCGTAAGCGGAATTAGAAAGTGAGACTTGACGCTTCACCCATGTCTTTCATGTTTGGGCACATCATTGCTGCATTTGCTGTGCCTTATCTTGCTGTTGCATCTGTACCTTTGCGGATCTGAATACATGTATTCACAGTGTGAGAATGGTTATTCCACTTGTGAAAATGGCATGCTGTACATAATAAAATAGAGAAATCGATTGCCGATCTGTCTAAGTGTGATAAAACGGCTCTCCGATCGGGTCCGACCGGCACGGTGACCAAGAACCATGCTACCGAAACCCTTAGAAATCCTTCGAGCTCTGCGACCTTCTACGAGCCTCTCGAAGCGTCACTGAAACCTTTAGTCATAGAATTGTTCATCATATAGAATAAGCTAGAAACACCCAGTCATATTCGCTCAAATGTATAAATACGTGACCAAGTAGAACGTAGGAAATGATCCGAACCCTGACGTGTGAGCCCCGTTACACTAAGTCACATGCATCACAAATGTCTTAGGTGCAAAACTTGGACGAAGTCATTAACATTACAGACACGAATATCGGAAAAGCCAAATGCATTAAAAAAAAAAGTGCACTTTTTCTCGGATAAAAATTTATGCATAAGAAATAGCAAGACATATAGGATTATCCCTCCGTGTGACGACCCTCTTATTCTTCTATTTTTCTTTTTTTTCTTGGTTCTTGAGATTCGGTCAATGTCCGTTTAAGGGCATTTTCTGACCTTTCCTCTTGGTAAACCTCATAAGTTATTTGTTCTCGATCCAGATATTTTTTTATAGCCTGTGTGCTTTTTAGTTTGAAAACGTAAGGAGCAATTTTTTCGCCTTTCTCTTGCTTTAAAAGAGAGCGCAAAGTGCTGTAGTTTTTGGGCTCCATAGTGGATCTAATATAGATAAGTTTCATATATTTCAATTTTATATACACGGCTACCCCTATGTATAATACATGAGGAATATACAATATTATATCAAAATTTTACAAAACCAGACAAACTGAACATAAAATATATTATATGAATATGATAACTGAATATGAAAAAGCAATCGAGTTTTTGAAAGTGGGTTGTGGTTGTGGTTGCTCTTCCAAAGTTCCCACGGAAGCATTTGCCGAGATGCGCGAGGCTTTTCAAGCTCTCTCCAAGTCAGAACAAGACATCTTTTTAATGGCTCAACTCAAAGCCATGGATGGTGGATCCATAAGCGCTAGTCATCGTCTTAAGAAGAAAACTCGCATTAATAAAAGAACATTATATTGCTGAGACCGCAATACATCTCTTTGCCAGAAAACCTATTTAAACATGCTGGGCATTGGCCGCAACTATTTTGAAAACATCCGAAATCACTTGCTCAAGAATGGTCTTCTATCGCGAATCCATGGTAATGTAAAAAGGATGCTGCAGTGAAAAACCAAGATGGTTATTGATAAACATCAGGAAATATGCTTGCCTAAATCCAACGTTCGTTAAACGTAAACGCTGAATAAATGCTAAATTAAATGCACAT